TGTCAGAGTTTTTGCTTTGTATGTCTCATTTTGGCCACTAGAGGTCCCTATGGTACGCTCATGTCTATGTTGAGCCTCTTGTAATCAGTGCTAGTGTTTTCAGATGTGCCTCGTTCTGGGCTGTGTATTTAAACTGGTCACTTCCTTTGTTTCTTTGCTTGGTTATTGTTGTTCTTAAGCCAGCTGCTGCCGTAAGTCTGGTCTAGTTCAAAGAACTATACTGCAAAAGTTTTTTGGATTGTTTCCCTGTGTTTAAGTTGGCTGTTTTGTCTTTTTCCTGAGTTTTGGTTTTAGAGATTATTATTATTCTTTTTGGATCATTTTTTGGACTGAAGATTTTTCTGTTTTGTGGCTTTCATTAAGGAAAAGGATTTTTTGTAACCTTTCTGCGGTTTTTTGTTTGTTAAATAAACTCTTTTTAACTGCCTCCTGTGGCTCAGTGGCGGAGATTGAGATTCTCACGCCAGAGACCCTAGTTTGAGCCCCGGCGCTGACAGCTGTGTATTTCAGGGCAAAAACACTTTATTTGGCCTTCCGGAAGTAGATGCAATTAGGAATCATTGGTTAAGATTTATTTACAACAGAACAGCACAACCCAGATGTTCGAATTTGTGCAACGCATTTTATGGACGAAAGTTTTTTGAACCTAGAAGAGTACAAGGCTGGCTGTGCACAAAGGCTATTTCTAAAAAAAAAAAAAAAAAGGGTCAATTCCAACTTTGCTATGACAATATGTCGCTTCCGAATCAGCGATTGTAAGTATGTTTTGTTATTAGTTTAAGTATTTGCTATTGACTGTTCAAAGGCTGAGTTTTGCGCAGCGCAGAGTAACATACCGTGTGTGTGTGTGTGGGTGTGTGTGTGTGTGTGAGGGGAACAGGGTCACATCACAGGAGAGTGAACTGTCTGTCAGAAATCATAGCACGTCAGCTGTCTTAACCACAGCTTGTGTACTGCATCATCACTGTGTCTGTCACATGACTCTGTTGCCCTTTCGGGCTTGAACTGATGGTAAAACTAACGACATTATTAACTGTCTTGATATTTACTTTGAAAGCTGACGCTCGTGATTATTACATTTCCGACTGGGTCAGCTGGCCAATCAGAGCAGACTGCGCTTGTCAAAGGATGGGGCTTTATTGAAAACGTGTTTGAGAGAGGCGGGACATAGAGGACCTATAATACAGTATTTGAAAAATAATGTGTTTTTTGAACATTAAAGCATGTCAACATATTCTGTTACACCAAATACAAAAAATAATGATCTTTAAAATAGCATCATATGACCCCTTTAATATTAAAGTTTACTAAACTGCAAGTTCATCATTACAAATGTTTAATTACAAATATATTTTAATACATGACATACAAATTTTAATAGAACTTACCATAAATGCTTGTCAGTACATTCAAAAGTACACATTTTAAAGAATATAGACATAGCCTAATTATTCAATTACATAAATAGATGTACTTACGTCCTACCTAAGTGGCTCAAAAACATTTATGGTCAACTAATTGCATTTAATATATAAGTTAGAATTTTCTACATTTTCATTTAATTTAAATTGACATGCAATTAGGTGTCTGAAACTTTACATAGTTTGCAGTATATTTTCTGTACTCTTTAAAAATGCTCAGTCTTATATATTTTAGTCTGGTTCCTCATGACTTGCAGTGAGGTCCAAAGTCTGAGACCACTAGTGAGAATGCTACTAAGCGTTCCATTTATAATTGAATAATAATAAAATATCATTACAAAATATATAATTAGCTTAACAGTTTGAGTAAACAGTTGAATTTAGTTTCTCAGCACTTGAAACTAAATCACTTCCTTAAACTGGGCTTTTGTCTCTTTTTCCAATAAAAATATCTAAACTTCCTTAAAACAAGATATAATTATTTGAGAACAAAATTGTAGATAATAGACTTGTCAGAGGATATTCCCTGAATTTTCCCCTATATTTAAGCACAAAGCAGAACATTTAAGTTAGATTTATGCTTAAAACTAATTACCAATGGGGTAAGACTAAATTAACTTTACTTCAAGATAAAGTCTCTCTTAATATATAAGGACATTTTGCTTCTCAGGTATTAGAAACCAAGACTGCAGAAAATTATTTTTATAGTGTGTACTACATAAAATATGATTTCAAAAATAAATATTACAGACTAGTATCCATACAGGATTACAACTATTTTTGTTAAATACTTTACTTGTTTTAAATACTTTAAGTATGTTTGTTTAATTTATAAGAAGTTATAATTATAACATTTAAGTTAGAGTTATGCTTAAAACAATTAGTAAGACAAAATTAACATTACTTCAAGACAAAGTCTCTCTTAATATTCATTTCCAAGGAAATTTTGCTTCTCAGGTGAAATTATGGACATTTAGATGTTTTTATTAGAAAACAAGACTGAAGAAAATTATTTTTTACAGTGTGCATGTACTGCATAAAATATTAGTATTTCAAAAATAAATGTGACAGACTAGTATCCATACATTTTTAAATACTTTATTTTTTTAACACTTTATATATGTTATATTATGATTCTTTGTCAATAATCGCATATAAATGTACTTAACCTGTTTAAACAACAAAAATCTTTTTTGTTGTTTAAAGGTAAAAATTGCAGATAGATAAGAATAATATGACTTATTTTTTCAGAGAATATATAATAAGTTAAAATAATTGACTAATTGTTTTTACTTGTTTAAAACACAAACTGCATAAAACAAGAAGAACTGTTTGCCAGTGGGAAAAATACATATAAAAACTTAATTCTGATCAAACTTAATTCTTAATAGCTATTAAGATATGTATATAGAATTTTAATCACATGAATTTGCATATACCATTAAAGAGTGTCTGCTATGAATTAAATATCGGTTGGCATGAACAAAAATAAACTGTTAGATGATATACCATTGCTATCTTTAATGAGACTTGAGGGACAGTCTTAAACCTTTATCGAGTTTCAGTTCATTTGCAGTTTTCACTAGGATAGTGCTCGTGTTCGGGGTTGTAACCCGCTTGTGCAAAGCATTCGGCTGCTTTTCTGTCACATTCACAGATGAACATCTCACAGGGCCGATTCTTGACAGCTGCAAGAAACAAAAAACAACAGTCTAGTCTAAATATGTGCCACAATCCAGATGCAGTTCAGGTCTCAATTACTAACAGAGCTTGTAGATATAGTCTTCTTTAGTACAGTCTGTCCTACTGAGTGTAGCATCTTACCATTGCAGGTGACTTTCATTGCTTCTTTGTCACATGAGAATGAATAGACTTCAGTGTAGGGGTTGTCTAAGATACCCCAGCAGTCTTCATATTGCCATGAGTCAGAATAACACCGATCGTGCACCTCACAGCACCTAGAGCAGGGGTTCTCAAAGTCTACATTCAAAGGTCCAAATCTGAATTTTCTTCAGTGTCAAAGGTCCGGACTGGAACAATTGTTTATTACAAAACTTGTTTTTAATAAACATACATAACATGCATAACAAATAAACATTTTTTATTTTTATTTTTTTAAATAAAGTGCAAAACTGGCAAAACAATTAATTTAAGTGTCAGCAATAGAGGTAGACCGATAAATGTTTTTCTCTGGCCGATGCCGATATTTAGAAATCAGGGCGGCCGATATATGATGCTGATTTTTTCCCCCTTCTTTATCTCATTAAAGTGAGTTTGAGTAAATGATTATTGCAGGGCACAAGATGGTAATAGTAGTAGTAGTAGTAGTAGTAGTACCAGAGTCTAGAGGTATAGAGAATACAGTAGACATGATTCGAAAGTTTGTCGCCGTCACTTTTTGATCAATAATTATTATATTTTAGGATATTTGTGTTGCTTGGCTGCTGTGGAAAAACAAAAATGCAGCTAGCTTCTAAAGATAAATTGTACATTGATACATAACTAATATTCATGAGGCACTTAATCAATATTCACATTACTATTGTGCCAAGATTTTTCTGAAACATCTCCTTAAAAAGGTAAGGTTTAAAACTATTTGACTGTAGTATTTATTTATTTATTTTTTTGCAATGCATACTGCCTACAAAAATTAATTTATTTCTGCAACATGCAGCTTTGAACATTTATAAACTATGCACTAAACATCTCAGCTTGAGAAGGCTGAAGTGTGACTGACAAAACGGATTCAAATGATTCATTCAGTGTCTCTGTAACGGGTTTAAATCTGACCTGTCCAGCTCATCCACCGGGGTGCCTGAGCCTCCCTTTCCACAGTAGCATCCGTAGTCTGCATAATCCAGTGCAGGCCAGCTATCAGGGATGTTACAGAGGATCATAACCCTGAACTGCCACAACGCGCGGTAGTCTAGAGTCGCCAGCACTGTTAAACAGTGATAGTTTATCAGTGCTTCATACTGATTAGCAATCTAATGATGAAATAAAATCAAAATGATATGTAAACAACTATCTTAATCAACAATTGTTCTGTACTTACCAATGTCTAAAAAGACTAAAGTTCTTTAAAATTTTAGGAATATAGTACATAAGAACCATTTTTATCATATATTTATGAGTTTTTTTGCACACACGCATATAGTGCAAGCTTCAATAGAAGCACCATACACTATGACCAAAATGAATCTCATAAAATCTTTAATTCACCATTTGCCTTACAAAATATTTATGAGAGGTGTATAGCAGTTTTAGATGACTGGTTTGTTTGTGCCTCATCCAGTGTTTCATACTTGTGATCTTGTAAAGACCAGGGAGGTCTGTTGTAACACAGTTAGTTTTTATGACCAATTACTTTAGGTATTTTAAAATGATTATTTAGATAATCAAAATTTGCTTATCAGAGTACAAAATGTAAATACAAAACATAAAATGTAAATGGGCTGGGCATCCATGTTTTCATGGATTACAATCCACCCTGGTAGTCACAGCACTGTTTTTTTTAACATTAATTTGCACAGTTTAGGGACAAGATGTCGTTTTCAGTTTACAACTGGAATATTATATGAAAGTTTAAGCAAAACAACCATAACACGAAGTCACAGACATTGAAACAAAATGTGTAGCAACACTCTCCTCACTTCCCAAAGCTAATTTCACTCTACAATCTTTTTAGCATGGACAGTTTTCCGACTTTAGGTCTTGTTTAAAGAAATTCTGTCATTCCACAGCCTCATGTTGTTCCAAACCTGTATGACTTTCTTACTTCTACAGAACACAAAAAGGAGCTCATTGCATTTAATTGTATGGAGAAATAAATGCTCAAAATATCTTCTGTGTTGTACAGAAGACACAAAGCTTTTTTCGGAACAACATTAAAGGGTAAATGATGACAGAATTTTCTTTTTTTTCTTTTGGTTGGAGTATCCCTTTTAAGTTCTGTTAATGCATTCTAATTAAATATTTTATGTAATGAGCAAGTTATTAGTTCAATTATTGTACTGACTAACAAATAAATGAATAAAAAATAACAAATAAACGAATAAATGATGTGAATTATATTCAATATATCTATAAGTTAAACATTTGTTTTGCATACATAATAAAATTTAATAAATGGAGTTGAATAGTAGAACACATCTTAAGTATACTCACAGGTGGGCAGACTCACACTCAGGATCACGACAGAGAGGAAGGTGTTCATGGTGAAGACTGAATGAACAGGTATTGGCCAATTATTTATAGGTCTATAACTTATTTATATAACCTTGATGGGTGGGGCACATTGATAAGCTAACTTTGTGAATTATAAACAAATGCACATACATGGGGCAGTCATGGCTTAATGGTTAGAGAGTCTTGGACTTGTAACCTAAAGGTCACGGGTTCGAGTCTTGGTACCAACAGGGATTGTAGGTGGGGGGAGTGAATGAGTGTTCTCTTCCACCCTCAATACCACGACTGAGGTGAGACCTTTGAGCAAAGCCCCAACTACTCCCCGGGCGATGCAGCAAAAATGGCTGCCCACTGCTCCAGGTGTGTGTGTGTTTGTTCACTACTCACTGCTGTGTGTGCACACTTGGAAGGAATAAATGCAGAGCACAAATTCTGAGTATGGGACACACTTTGCCACACATCACGTCACTACATGTACACACACAAGCACCCAAACTTACAGTTGCTGAGATTGTTGAGTGTGCTTATGTACACTTATCTACGTTTGTGTGTGTGTGTGTTTTGATCTTTGGGAACGTCAGCATATGTTTGCAATTTGCACAGCTGGTACAAGAATTCAGTTTTCTCAAAAAATCATGAGAATTTAAGACTGGGAAGAAGTTGCAAAACAGCTGTCAGCACACAAAAGTGTGTGTGTTGTTTTTTTAATGACCAAAATGACAGGAAATAACACAATTATGTTCTGTACATGCACATTTCACTTATTACAGGGCATTTTGTTGCTATATAGTGGTGTGAGAGTGACCATGAATGCAGTTAGAGTGATGAGAAAGCTGCTGATGTCTTTGGAAGCTGAGCTGCAAACACTCGAGGACAGATGATTATTGGAGGCGTTATAAGGTGCTTGAGCAAAACACTCCGCTGCAGTCTTGTCACACTGGCAGATGAACATATCACACTCATCATTACTGTCTGAAAGAGAAAAAGAGAAGTTGTATAAAGGAGCGTGTTTAATTGTATTGAATGCGCCCTTGTAGTGTACTTCAGCTCTTATTTGCAGATAAAAACACTAATGAAATAAAAGGCGTACTTAAAAAGAGTATCATGACTGTTTAATAACACACTTTTGTACACTTAAAAGAAGATGTACTTATGTCTTAAGTGACTCAAAAAAGCATATTAATGGTTAACTAATTGCATTTAATATAAGTTTGAACTTTAATAGATTTTAATTTTAGGTGGTCTGAAACATTAGGCTACATAGTTTGCAGTATATTTTTCTCTACTTATTTAAAAATGTATTTACTTATTTTAGACTGGTTATGTAAATTATACAACAGTTAGTTCTGTTCTATTGGTTGTATCCTACATTTGTCTGTGTTTGTTCCAAACAGGCTGTCAGTTTTTGTATTAATTGTTGGGATTTTCATTGAGGTTTTCTGCAGTTATGGTTACGCCAGTAGGTGTAGGCTACTATCTTTTGAGTGAGCTATTTGAATCGACCGTTCAACAACACTGATTCAGTCAATTTTGAGTGAGTCATTGATTCATTCACTCAACCGATTCGTACAGCAACATTGATTAATTTTGAAAGAAACACCACTTGTTTGCAGATGCACAACAGTTCGCCTGTTTCACACCACAAGCGTTATTTCAGAGATTGTCTTACTATGGGGAGATGAGAGGGTCTGTATTACTTACTATTGGAGAAAGCCTAACAGTCAACTTGGATCACATGTGCCTTAATAACCAATCACATTACAGCCTTGATGTCATTGAATTTCAGTCAGAGTTGTGCGACACTCAATCACCGTTTACGGATACCATAGAGAAATGCTGTAAGCTGAAGACTATAGAATACCCAAGACGTGTCACTCATATAGTTTTGAATGGGGAAAAATGCAATCCTCAATATGGCCGCTCTATAGAACGAAGCCCCGCCTTCTGAGTAAAAGAGCCAATCGCTAATCGGTAAAGTCAGCACGTCACTGCAGCGTTCTGAGACATGCGCTCATGTGCACTGGCTGGTCTAGCCTGAAAAATAGGCTTTTTTAACGCTATTTGAGCAAAAGAAAAAACATTTATGAGACAGTTATTGTCAGATTTCATTGGTGATTTTTAATTTTAAACTTGGCGAACAGTTTTGGAGAAATTTATGTTTCCCCATTCAAAAAGACAGAAGCAGCACTTGCATGCCCGAGAGTCGTTTCAAAGATGGCCGCTGAGTGACATGACTTGTCTTAAAGGAACTTTGGCTGAATCCCACCTGTCGAAAAAAGTCAGTGACTTCTCTCATAAAACTGCATTTTTTTCGGTGTAAACTCTAAAAATAGTTCAATCCAAAAGTATTGCTTAGTGTAAAACATATAGGAGCTTAGCCAATAGGCTGTCGATTCATTAAATGATAAGCTGTTTCCTCTAAAAAGCTGTTTATTCTTAGCCTGAAAAATAGGCTTTTTTAATGCTATTTGAGCAAAAGAAAAAACATTTATGAGACAGTTATTGTCAGATTTCATTGGTGATTTTTAATTTTAAGCTTGGCGAACAGTTTTGGAGAAATTTATGTTTCCCCATTCAAAAAGACAGAAGCAGCACTTGCATGCCCGAGAGTCGTTTCAAAGATGGCCGCTGAGTGACATGACTTGTCTTAAAGGAACTTTGGCTGAATCCCACCTGTCGAAAAAAGTCAGTGACTTCTCTCATAAAACTGCATTTTTTTCGGTGTAAACTCTAAAAATAGTTCAATCCAAAAGTATTGCTTAGTGTAAAACATATAGGAGCTTAGCCAATAGGCTGTCGATTCATTAAATGATAAGCTGTTTCCTCTAAAAAGCTGTTTATTCAGCGTAGTGAAGCCTCTCCTCCATTGACATCCATTAAAAAAACGTCCTCTGGTCTCCTTTCCCAGTACTGGCAAACTGGAAGCGTTAGCATTAGCCATTACGCTTTTTTGGCTAAAGGTTGCAGGCTTGCCTTCTAGTGGCTTTGGTTATTTGCTCATCTACATGGACCAGGGCCGTGCACAGGGGGTGGCCCGGTGGCTAGAGCCACTGCCCCTTTGCCCTCATCGGCTGAGTTGCCCCTCTCACCAATCCCCCCATCACCCCAGCGGCCCCTCTCACCATCCTCTGGTCTCCTTTCCCAGTACTGGCAAACTGGAAGCGTTAGCATTAGCCATTACGCTTTTTTGGCTAAAGGTTGCAGGCTTGCCTTCTAGTGGCTTTGGTTATTTGCTCCTCTACATGGACCAGGGCCGTGCACAGGGGGTGGCCCGGTGGCTAGAGCCACTGCCCCTTTGCCCTCATCGGCTGAGTTGCCCCTCTCACCAATCCCCCCATCACCCCAGCGGCCCCTCTCACCAATCCCCCCATCACCCCAGCTCAAGTGGTCTGTGCGCCGATTCCACTAATCCGCTCTGTGTTTTCCTGCCCACTCCGCAGCATCACTCACGATCTGTGTGCTGCTCTCTGGAGTGGAGACCACAGTCCCAATGTCATTGCATTAACAGGTGAATGCATTACAATCCACATTACAGTCAGTGGATGATTCACTGAATTAGTCATTTGGTAGTTTGTTTTTGTATTTCTGTCGGTAATGATTTGGTCTCGGTCTTCTAAAATAACAAAATATCCACGTTTTTAAAATTAGAATGTCTAATCAAATGATTGTTCCCGATCAGATCTAATTTAAATAACACAAAATCCATCCGCTGTTGTTGGCACACTTTGTAGACAAAAAAAAATGCCTTCACAAAAAAGAAGACAGAGACAGAGACAAAGAGCGAAGGGAGCAGTTCAATATTAATTAATAAATGACTAAATTTAAAAGTATAAGTAAATGTAATAAATGCTCCAAATTAGTTGTTTATTAGTATATAATATACAGTGGGGAAAAAAAGTATTTAGTCAGCCACCAATTGTGCAAGTTCTCCCACTTAAAAAGATGAGAGAGGCCTGTAATTTATATTAATTAATAAATGACTAAATTGAAAAGTATAAGTAAATGTAATAAATGCTCCAAATTAGTTGTTTATTAGTATATAATATAGATGTGTGCTGTAAAATATTAAATTAAATGTCTAATACTTATAGGGGAGAGTGGGGTTTAGCCATTTGTTACTTATGTGGTCCTCAAGATAAGTTAAAATGATGCAGAAGTACAATGAAAGTATTTTTCCTATCCTAATAAAAGTATTCCGATCATTTTAAATGATCAGAATGTTTCTATGACAAAGGGTTCTAAAAAAATATGTTCCCATGGCTCAGTTTGCCCCGGGTTAGGGTTAAGTTGACCCGAGTCGAGTCAGTGGGTAAGATGCACCATCTGGGTGTAAAATGACCATCTGACCAAATCTGATTCAAACCCATATGAAATAAATAATAATTAAAAAACGAATTTAATAATTTCCGTTTACAAACAGTCATATTTATTTTTATAAAGGTGTCTACGGCAAGACAGCGCATCCAGTTTGCAAGAGCGTGAAGATGGCAAGGAGAGCATTTGTTTTGCACTGTAAACACACTCGCCGTTTCCTGTTTTAAATATTTGCTTTGACTGCACTCGCCAGTTACTGTCTGATAATCCCGGGCATTCAATTGGTAAAGATTCTGTCTATGTACTGCAAAAGTGTTTATTCAGATAGCTAGCTAGACACGATATAGCATTAACGTAAGGGCTGTCGATTTAACATGTTAATTTTAATTGTGTTGTCATAATAGGTGTAACGGGGCTGACGAGACGTGAGACGTGTGGATCCATCTGCAAACTTTTATTTAAGAGACGTGGTCATAACAGGCAGGATCGAACAATGGCAAACAGGTATATGGCAGGCAAAACACAAGAATAGTCCTAGGGCTAGCGTAGGTCAACGATCGGCAGACAGAATCACAGGGGCGAGACTAGAGGGATAAATCCAGGAAAACAGGCAAAGATCAGGACACGAGAAAACAGACAAGGCAAGACTAAGATAAGGCTACAGACAAACTAGACCGACTCCGTAGAGTAGCTATCGCTATGAGAGTGATAAACGCTATACAATAC